TTATCTCGAGGCAAGGCAGGGATCCTTAACCCGCTGCCAAACACAGCACACAAATCCTCAGAAAAACACAGTAAAAAGTCACTGATAGAGGGAGGTTCAGCTCAGACTGGATGGAAAACCTTGATGGTGATGTTTGGACGCTTAATGAAACTGTTGTCATTTAGGCAAAACCTGAGGGAAAATCTCTCTAGCTAACAACTTCACGTCCTAGCTGTCATGGTCCTGCTCTGTCTTTGATATACAATCACTAGCCGCTAACTATAAGCTAGCAGTTGGTAAAGTAAGCTTATGTTTACATAGTTTGTATCCTTCCATTACTCTCTCTCTCCTGTACATATCCAGGCTGCTCTTCTACGTCGAGGTTTCCAGGGGTCATTAAAAGCCGTTAAATTATAATTTTTTTAATTAAGGCCTTAATTGGTATTAAAATTCATTAAATGGGATTATCGTGGCATTTAAATTTTTTTTAAAAAAGTTAATAAAAACAATTTCTTCAGATATATTATATCAGATATAACTGGTTCCTTGTGTTTGCGTTGAACTGCTTCCGGTTGATCGTAAAGCTGTATGTTCGTAAAAGAAGGGAGAGAAAAAGCTAGCGAATGGGAAAATTAAACTCAACAAATGACAAACGAGGAATTCGGGACATGGCTGCTGCCTGTCGACAGTAAAGATGACGAAGGATTTTGCCTGGTTATATATTAGCCTTCCTTGGCATTCCTCTTTAAATCTACCATGAGCAGGCAGCTGTTTTGGTGTATCTGCAAACTATAGTTAGCCTGATAAACCAGATTAAATGTGTAAATTAGTCTCTTCCTGCTCACATTTCAACGAAAAACCCCAAGTCTAATCCTTACCAAACTGATTCCAAAGCTGAGTCAAACGAGAACTGTTCAATAGCTGTTGCCGTCGTGAAGCTTAGTCGTCCCGCCCTCAAAACTCCGCCCGCTTTGCATCCAGAAATTCGAAACACATTTCTGCATAGTGATTGGCCCACCAGTTCTAGGGCATTGATCAAGGCTAGACCACTTACAGGCAAACATGATTTTGGCCGCTGGTGGGTGGGGCTAGTTTACTAGGCCTAATAATAAGCCTAATTCAGGGAATCAGTATTTAGTGCAGGACAGTACGATTGGAAAAGTATAAGTATAGTTTGGAGTTATTGGTGTACAAAAAAACAATAATTGACTTTTCGACACATTTATGATATTCCAATATACATTATACTCTGTCACTAAAGCATTTTTTACTGAGTGAGGTTTACTTTTATTAGTTTTCTTTTTGAAAGTAAAATTTTGTAAAATGCTATGATGGAAGTATTTCATAAATGTGGCAAACTGATTATCGTAAGTTTAAACAGGATATGGCTAAAGTCATTCTTAGCAGTCTTTCTAAGGCTTTTATTTTTGTAGATTGTTATAAGAATTAAAATCTTATCGACTAAAATTAAGAAAAATGTTTATATAACCTTTGGCCATATTGTCTAGCCTTATATGGGGAGGGTGTAAATCACAAACAGAAAGCTGTATTTGCATATTATGACAGTGAATATGGATAATTGTTTTAAAGTGGGGTAGATTATTGGTACTCAAAGGTTCTCAATGTTTGGGGGGAATTAGAAAATGCAGGATGCTAGAGTAAATGTTTATTTTTACATCTTTAAAATAGAGATAAAGGTGGCATGATGTATACATTTTATAACTGGTTATTGTAAGATAAGATGCAATTGTTTTTTACAGATTGCCTGTTTTTCTTTTTGTTAAGAGGATTGCAAACAAATTGGGTGTATTAATTCTCTCCTTTAACTCCAGGCAAGGATAAATGTATTAGAAATCACACAAAAACATTTGAGTCTCATTCGTGGCTCTTCTCCATTTTGCCTGGCTGCATAAACGACTGCATAAAATCTAAAGGGCTAATTTAACATCATTAAGACTCGACAATTCGTGGTATCATTTCTAACCCCCTCTCTCTGGAGAGCAAAGGGAAGGCTATATCCTGCACATCATGAAAGGGTAGTCATTCATGTGCTCTGCCTTGATTTACATCCCTGCCTCGACCAGCTGCCAGAGCCATTTTGTGTTTGAGTGTTTCAAGAGCTTAGGGGGCGGACTCTCGAAGGCGTTTTAGAAAATGGGCCTGGGTTCTTTTAATGTGACAAAAATCCGAACTCGAGGACCTCTCCAGTACCCCGCACTCTCTCACACACACACACAAACACACATTTGCTGTTTGTTATAGCCTTGACCAGGTGCTCATGTTTTGCAGCCATAGATTTCAAGGCAGAGACATGCAGCCAAATGTCAGCAGGTTGCTGTAAACATATATAAATCCCTTATGCTCCTCGTGCTTTATGCCAGAGGCAGCAAGAGAAAAATGAGTTCTGAAATGTGAATTGTGTGTGTGGGAGACGGGAGGTGGGGGGGAGACGGGGATGGTTATACCATTGAAGAGAGGAAATGACGGCGAGGGTGAAGGAGGGGAGAGAAAGTGGGGTGAGCAAGAGAGAGGTTTCCTAAGCTAATAAAATGCTCTGGAGGATAGAAGCTGCCAGCCAGCATTCCTGTGTCATTAGATAAGTTAGCTCACTGCATCCTCCAGTTTCTCTGTAGTGCTGAAGTGGCAAGCTGAGGTCACCACCAGGGAGCGAGAGGGAGGGTGTGGGCAATAAATCCTGAATGTTTTCACGCAGTCGTTGTTCTCAAATCCTCTGAGGCCGTTTGGTTAAAAATCTAAAAAGCCTCAATTGGGGCCTTCATTTGAAACCACTTTCACACAGCCACTTGTAACCATGTCCTGTCCATATATAGACTGGCCTCAAAAACTGAGGATATTTATGATCAGTCATTTTATTTCTTCATTCAAACAATGCTTCTTTGTAATTATAAACAGGAGAGTCTGTTTTTTTCACCTTTAAATGATGCAATATTTGTGAGAAAAACACATGTGGGTTTAGCATCAGAGTTGAGTAGATTTATGTTGGACACATAAACTTGCCAAATTTTCTCCATCAATGCCAAACAGATTTTTTGTAGAGTGTGATCGTACAACGGTCCCTTTTATATACTCAGTGTCCCCGCCTCTTCCACAGACACTCTGCTGCCATTCCTCAAAATTGTAGGCGTCCGCAGACTGGAGGCCTCTGATTGGTCAAATCTACATCTGCTCTACTCTATGCTTATTTCCTGTTTGGTACTTTATCTTCTGTTTGTATGAACACCATTGTGGAAAACAAATCATAAAGTTGGACCAGCTAGAAGAGCGAGGTGTGCGAGAACGCTGGCAACCTTTTTCCCTCCTGGATCCCCGCTCTTTTTCGCCCTCATGTCCCTCCATTGTCTCACAAACGTGCGTTTTTCTATTTACTCACCACCTCGGCCGTATCTAGACCCACAGCTAGTTCCTGATTGTCCCTTTTGCTCTGTGGAATAACACAGCGCAGACCACACCTCAAAATTAGTCATAAATCAAAAATATCTGCGTCATACCTGCGACAAGCTAACTGCGACACACTGCTGTGGGGGTATAACCAGCCCTTTATAGTACTGAGACTTCCCTTTGTGATTTGAATAAGTAGTTAAAGAGGCCCATCTGTCTTGTTCTTTCACAATTTAGTAATCCTACTGAATAAACAACATCCAACAAGAGTCAGAGGAGCAGATAGTAATGATCCTTTTGGCTCGTCTTCGAAATGCACCTTTCATTCGGTTACTTCTCCTTTGATCGGTTCCCATCTTGATCTAGTGATTGGCAGGAGAAATTCTGCATTTAAAGAATAGCCCCTTTGAGTCATAGAGTGACAATCATTTCTTTAAAAAAGTATTTCACTATCCGTTCATGTAGGCCAACTCATAAGATGTCTGTATCTGCCAATCCTTGCCAGTAGGAGGTGTCGCCCGTCCGCCATGTTCTTCCATGCAGAGATGTTAGCATATAGTAGTTACAAATTTCCTACGTTGTAGTAAAACAGGCCGCCATATGTTTGTACATATCTTAGTGACACATTAACCTAACACCAGGCTTAAATATTCGGCATGCATTTTGCTGAATAAATTGTGATAACCTTGTCATTAATAAATTTTTCCATTAGAGCTGAAACTAGTGTCTTTATCAGAGAATCTGTTGCAAATGTAACCTTATTTCTTTTTAAAAGTAGCCTTTAAACGCAGCAGGGAAAGAAATGGTTGAAATCAGAACTAGGACTAAACCCTAGTCCTTTATTTAGGTGTAAACTTAGTGTTGGAAGTGATCTTCTGGAACTAATTTGAGGTTTTAAATGTGAGATCAGGTGTCTCACTCAGTGCTGGGCAGATTGGGTAGCGTACGATGAGTGCTACATAATTCACGCTGGCCAAATGGCAACACAGAAGCTTCTAGGTGTGACAGATTGCATCAATACCAGGGAAGTCAACAGGCTTTTCTTGCACACTCATTTACAGTCCGTCAAACAGAACCGTTTGCTTTGAATTGGTCGCTTATTTCTCAAAGCGCTGCTGTAGTCAAACCCTCCCTGAGGATGAAGGCTTCAGGCTGCAGAGTGAAGCAGAGTGTTACAAAGAAATATTTCCCCCTTAGTGATTTTCCTTCAGGGAAATCTCCTACATTTGGAGATGACTTTATTTAACACAAAGGATTTTTTCCCTCATTCCCTGTAACCGTACTACTAGAAAAATCTCTGAGAGACCCTATGCTAGTATCTTTAACAGGTTTTATAATACTGACAGCCACAGAGTCTCTTCCAAGTCATCTATGGGATATCAGGCAGTCCTTCCCCTGCGGCTTTAGAGGGGAGATTTAAAAAAAATAAATCTTCCTTATGACATCATTTAGAGAAGATTTGTTCAAGCTGCATCCCTATTGCCCTTCTATTTGTAGTCTGAAGGCAATGCAATGTTTCCTGCCCTATAACTGTCTATATTACAGCTTGCCTGTTTTTGTAATCCACTATGACGCAATAGTTGCTTTGCAAAAGTGTGAATTTATGGTTTTCTTTCTTTCAGGCATGCTTGTGGTCAATGTCACCTGGAGGAACAAGACATATGTGGGCACCTTGTTAGACTGCACACGGCATGACTGGGCTCCCCCCAGGTAAGACACATCCCCTATTTAGTTCCTTTCAAGTGGAGAAAGCAGCTTTAGCATGCAATTAAATTTGCTGTTGTGCACGGGAATTGTAAATGTCAAGGTGAAAGAGGGTTCACAATCACAAATCACTGATGCATACTCTATCCAAACTCTCGCTACAAAGCCTCTTAACCTTTTCATATTGCATGTGATATGAATCTGCTGTAGCAGCAACAGCTCGAGCACAGACAGCCCTAATGCAATGAGTTGCCAGTGTGCCGCTGGACCACCGAGTGCATGTTAGTCTTTATGTTGAGCCTAGAGAAACAGGATTCATTGGCAAGCAGCTGATGTCTCAGGAGGCAGCAGTGGAAATAGAAAGCTACTCTAACAAGCCAGATTGCAGAATCCAATTATTGGACTAAGAGCTTTTTTTCCCCCCACAACATTGGATAGCATTTTCTATCACAAAGGCAGCCATTTCTAACATCAGTCTCATGGCAACAGCATGGGGGTATTTATTTGGTCTTTTCTCTGCAAATACCCCAACATTGTGGATGCAAAATGTATTGACTGTAAAATGACATCACAGCTTTACTAAACACCTGCTGTTACCAACAGTAGATAGAAATCTAGAACTCAAATTGGCAACTAAGTGTATCAAAAAAAAAAAAAAAAAAATCAAGATTAAATCAGGCCTAATGGAAAACAAGTAGATGCTTTATCCCACTAATGTATTACTGTGGAGCTCAATTTATAATGTTTGCTAGGGTGCATTTGCACCAAGATTGTCTTAATGTTTGCAGCATGACTACATAAAGGACCCACCATAAATTATTCAGAAATCTTTCAGCAGACTGAATATAAACTTGGGCTTGTAATGAGTCTAAATTCCTGCACCGCTGTCAGACTGCGGATGTATTCACATCCCCTGCTGGGGCTAAAGTTGTTTAGAGAGACTTGTAGAGGAAGCCGTGAGTCATGGCAGCTCTGGGTTTGACTTTGTTGCAGACTGCTAACCTTCACTGCTGTGCAGAAAGATAATTAGGTTACTGTTAGTGGAAGATAATCCCGCACTGCTATTTGAAGTGTTTAAATGACTTCATGTTTTGATTAGAAAGGAGCTTGAATGTTCAAAGCTCATTTATTCAAATGGTATTTGCTTTGCTTTCATTTTTAACAGGCTCATTTGTTTTTGTTTTTAAGATGTAGGAGATTATGTAGAGAAACAGTGTTTCCATAGCTGTTTATAAATACAATAATGAGGAAAATAAAGATTAGTTTCACTATTAAGCATTTGGTCATTTTTTATACTCCCGTTTTTTACTCATTTGTTTTTGTCAAAAGAAGAATTCAGGTACTCAGGGATTTTCTAATCTATTATAATCTTGGCATTACACCAAGGTTTTATATGATCTGACAAAAAAAAATCTAAATAGATAAATTATAGTGTCATATTTATGGTCACATGAATAAATAGATTTTTGTTTGAAAGGAGGTACAGAATAGGCTGAAAAACTATTTTATTTTTAATTTGAAGCTTTATTTTAGTTGTTTCATGGCTTTGGATATACATTTAGATCTCAAATGTTGATTTGGTTTGCAGGGTTATCTCAACCACTCAAAATTAGATTTCCTTACAAATTTGTTAAAGTTAACAAAATCTTCTAAATAAAGGCATGTCTAAATCTTTTTTGAATTATAACCAAAAGTATTAAGACAGTTTGATTTTTTGCTTTACTTTTTTAAACATAAAATTTTAAATGTCTGACATGTATATCTTACTAACTAGCTCATACATGTTTTCAACAAAACTGCAGATTTTGTGAATCGCCCACAAGTGATCTGGAAATGAGAAATGGTCGTGGCCGAGGTAAACGTATGAGACCGAACAGCAACACCCCGATCAACGAGAATAGCAACTCGTCAGACAACAAGGGTGCCACCAACAACAAGACACGTGCTGCCTCAAACACCAAGGGCCGCAGGGGCAGCCAGACGCCATCAGAGCGCCGCACCCCTCCGAACAGCAACACAGAGGACATCAAAGCCAGCCCTTCCTCTACTGGGAAACGCAAGACCAAACCTGCCTCTGATATGGAGCCCAACTCCAGTTCAGAGGACACCAAAGGCAACAAGCGCATGCGGACAAATTCCAACAATGGAGGCGTGGGTGCTGCAGGTCTCCCAATCCCTTCTGTTAAGACTGAATCTCTTCCACCTCCACTCGATCGAGGCTGCCCATCTCCAGTTCTTATTGACTGTCCACATCCCAACTGCAACAAAAAATACAAGCACATCAATGGACTGAAGTACCACCAAGCCCGAGCCCACAATGATGATGACATAAAGTTGGACTTGGATGGAGACAGTGAATACGGAGAGGACTCGACCCTCCATCCTGAACCGGGAAACTGTAATGGGGCGACTATCTCCCAGAAAGGATGTTTGTCTCCAGCTCGTTCAGTTACTCCGAAGGGCAGGAACTTTGATGCACAGAGTCCTTCCCCCTCTCCTGGGAAGTTTGGTTCAAAGCAGAGTAAAAAGAAAACAGTTGAGACGGATCCAGACACAGGAGGTACACCGATGGATGGCTGCGAGGATGGACCATGCCTTACTGATGAGGCTAGTAATGACGGGATAGACGATAAGAGAGGATCGGATAAATCAAAAAAGGCTAACACTGGTACAAAAACTGATAAAATTGCCCAGAAAAACTTGAAGTCACCACGTCCTATTGGCCCTGGGCCTCCAGGATCCCAACAGATGTATCCTTTTCCGCCTGGGAACCAAAATCCCTCCCCAGGACTAGCCCCAATGATGCAAGGAATCCCCAAGAGCCCCCAAATGAAAGGTGCACAGCCTAAACCTCCAGTTATTGGAGATCCAGCATCAAGTAGCTCCAAAGACAAGAAGAAGAAGGACAAAAAGAAAAAGGATGGCGCAAAGGACGCTGATAGCCCTAAGCCCCCAGGAAAGGGTGGAAAATTAGAGGAAGCAAAGCTTCCATACTCTGAACCTTGTGACCAAGGTAATAAGGGCGAGAGTCTCCTCAATGGCTCCTCAGACCCCCATCAGAGTCGCTTGGCCAGTATCAAGGCAGAGGCTGACAAAATTTACAGCTTTTCTGACAATGCTCCAAGTCCGTCTATTGGTGTTGCCAGTCGGATAGATGGCAGTGGGATGCCACAACCTCTTACACCACTTCATGTGGTAAATCAGAATGGTGCAGACAACTCCTCAGTTAAAACCAATAGCCCAGCATATTCAGACATTTCAGATGCTGGGGAGGATGGAGAAGGGAAACCAGAAGGTGTCAAGGTCAGGACTGATGACCAAACCATCAGGGAAAGCGTCAAAAAAGCACTCTTTCCAAACCAAACACCCAATAAAGAATCCCCTTACTATACCAATTACGACACTTATTATTCTCCTAATTACGTCAACCCTAGTCCTGGCGGCCCAAACCCAGCTGCACCAGCGGCTGAAGGTCAGGCTAAGATCAAAAGAGATGATGAACATGACCAAGCTGAGGATAAAGTAAAGGTTGAAGTTCATGAAGAACGGAAATCTGACCCCAGTGGTGCTGGCCTACAGCAGCAGCAGCCCTCCGTCATCCAGCAGAGGTCCAACATGTACATGCAGCCTCTCTACTACAATCAGTATGCATACGTCCCTCCATATGCCTACAGTCATGATCAAAGCTACCATAACCACTTGATGAACACCAATCCAGCCTTCCGGCAACAGTATGAGGAAAGGCAACGGCAGATGGCTGAGCAGCATCGAGCTGCAGAGAAGAAGTCGGACGCTGTCATGAAAGAGCGAGAGGCCTCCATGAAGGAGGAGTGGAAACAAAAGAGCCCAATGCCACCAAGCCTTTCCAAAGCCCCAAGTCAGTCCGATCTTGGAAAGGTACCCCAGGCGCCGAGCAAATCCAGAGACTCGCCTTCTGAGTTGACCTCCAAGTCTATTGGAAGCATAAAGGGGGAGGACCCAAAATCCCAGCAAGCTGAGGGGTTAAAGATGAAACTGTCTGAAGGGGGTCACCATGGCAAGGAAGACTCTTTGCAAGCTCTGGAGTCAAGAGGCCAGGCTGGAATGGAGCAGGCCATGTGGTACAGACAGGTAGTACCGCTGTATAACCCGTAGTGAAACTATTTGATAATTTTACATGTTAGGTTTGTGTTGACTCTGCTTTCTTTCCCTCAGCAGTACCCTGAGAGCCAGAAGCTCCAACCAGAGGAAGAACACCAGCAACAGCAGCATCGCAGGAAAGAAGAAAGGGAACGAGATCGAAAGCTAAAGGAAGAAAGGACCAGGCCAAAGGACAGTCAAAGTGGACCCAAGGAGGACGGAAAAGACTGTAACGATCCTCGAATCAGTGCTGAAGAACATCGAGCCATGAGCAAAGACTCTCGTTCTAACCCCCACATGCAGTTCACATCACCACTAGCACAGCACCAAGGCTACTTGCCTTACATGCATGGTTACCCCTATGGACAAGGTTATGACCCCAACCACCCGGGATACAGAGGCATGTCTTCAGTCATGATGCAGAATTATCCAGGTATGTTTTATTATTATTTTTAAAATATTAACACATTTTTACATTATTTGGTTTTTATGCATTGTGCCAGCTATAATAAATGACTGAATAAACAGAATACTTTCACACACATTGTTAAACTGGACACATTTAGAAGATGTAACAAGTAATCCTACTAGATTAATGAATAAAAAAAGATGAATAGAATATGTGAAACACTTTTGATATACTGAGATGTAATACTAAGATGTAATATGTCATTCTGATATTTGCCACTTTGTTCAATTGAAGCCAACTGTCATATAGCTCTTTATCCAGCATGTAGTGGAAGAAACCTTATGTTGCTGTCAGGGCTTTGAAATGGGGAGTTCTGTTTTCTCCCAGATTACTGTTAAACCATGGCTCTATCAACTCTCAAAATGCTTATTTCCAGCATGTCAATTTCTATCATGTTAGAAATGTTTTGTGCAATGCCCTCCACTTTTCTATGAATCCTCACTTGACCCGAACACAGCAGAGAAGTTGACGCTGCTCTGCCATGCAGCGTGGCAAAATGGGCGCTATTTAGGTGACATAAAGTGCGTTCTACATCCTTGTTGCCGTTAAACAGTGTAAATAATCCAGGCGAGACTCTGGCCCTGCACATGCCAGTGACGTTACACCCTATGATTGGCTGAACGTTGCCACGATCACGTAAAATATTGTGGTTCCTCGGACAAAGATAATGTAATGCAGTGTACGTATGCGGAGTCTGATGCAATTTTCCTGTTGGTGTGTATAATCACGATGAAGTTTTACCTGATGGATAACGAAACTGAAAACATCTGTTTTTAGTGAAGTAACTAAGTAACTTCAAGACCCGGACATAAAGAGCAGAGCTAGGAAGCACTTGGCTAGCTCGGCTCAGTAGCCAACAGGTTAGCCTCTTTCACCTCGGTCAGATCCCCGTATTAAAGGTACAGTGGAGGATTTTCGCAAATTTCTTCGAAGACCTGCCCTTTTCACTTAAAAAGCACATGCACAAATTTGCACCGCTCCCCATCTGAATGCTGAATGTCCACCCTAACCCCCAAATCCCTCCGTCACTCTATAGAGCGGGGACTATATAGTGCACTTGATAGCGAACTCAGTTAACTGACCGTCCAGACAGATGATCACTACTCTTTACTCCATGTTGGTCGTATAACTCCTCCTCCACCTTGTGAGGCCTGCGGCATCTTTATTAGTAACCTCTATTGAGTAGCGACAGCCTATGGCGACAGCTGGCCGCTGTGACAGCAAATCCCATAATACTTTGCGAGGAGAGCTCTCCATGCGTAAAGAAACTTGACTCTGGGTTACCTTGAACTTTCAACTACACGTCTAGAGATGCATATCATTACAAACTGCGGTAATCCTTACTTGAACTCATAACAGACCCTTCACTAAAACTGCGGTGAACTGTTTAGTTTGTGGTTCATATTGCACTCATAAATACAATGTAATCAGTAAGTTCCTCTGTCTATCAAATCAAAATTTAACATGACAGATCAAACAACCATCAGAGACGCATCTGAACTGTTTGGTCAATGGGGAAAATATCTTTAACAGAGGCTGCCGCCCTGTTTTTTCTTTTTTTTTTTTTTTTTTTTTTGGAAATATTTAAGATAACAGAATGATTTACTCTAGCTTAAAATTATGAAATTCTTTAAGAGTTGATGTATAAAACCACATTTATGATGTCAAAATATGTAGTGAAGGTAAAAAGTGTCCCAATCTATCTGTTTTTTTTCTCTGCTTTCAGGTTATCTATCTGGAGGTTATCCATTTTCTACTTACGGGGGTAAAATAGCTGGAGGTGAGGAAGGAAGCGAGAAATCCCGCGCTAGCCCCACCGTCACTAAAACGGCAACGGACCCCAAAGCCCTGGACGCGCTACATCATTGCGTCACGCAGTACAAGAGCAAATCCCCCACGGTTGGTGATAAACCGCCCCACGACAGAGAACGGGACCAGGACCGAGGGGCTGCCGTGGAGCGAGAGCGGGAAAGAGAGCGTGAGAGGGACAGAGACAGGGATGTGGACCGACCGCGTACCTCACCGTCCCAGCGAATCATGCCCTCTCACCACCACCTGGGATACCCGCTGCTCTCAGCGCAGTACGACTTGTCCTATGCCACAGGTATGGCGGTCCACAGTGATCCTAAATGTTCTGTTCATGGCACAGTGAACAGAAGATCAAGATGATCTAATAAACCATTAGTTGAATCCACTTGAAACAATGTTTTTCTATGTTGTGGATAGATCTCATTACTAGTCCCTAAACTGAACACTTTCCAGTTCAATACCAGCTTTCTGACTGCAGACCAGGAAAGAACAGAAGGCTGAGAAATACACTGCAACTTCAGTTTAAAATAGTAATGGCTGTGAGATGATTTCTAGCCCAGATGTCTGTCCTGTAGAAATAAAACTGAGTGTTTCTTTGACCAGGGTTTATTTGAGTGGAACACCCTCGGGCTTCACGCTGTACTTTTCAATTACATTTATGTTGTCGGCTCAAAGGCAGCAATCTGCAAAGAAACTAAATCGTGTCCAAACAAAGCCCTGGTCTCTCTCTGCTGCAGTCGAGCACAATATGCAGCCCAGCTTTTAGCCTCTCAGCTCATCCAGTCTAAGTAGGTCCTTTGAGGACAAGTGGATCACAGTGTTTATAATAGAGATGTTGAATGAGCTGCAGAGACGCACAGCTTCTGCAGCCTGCAGCAACATCTAGTGGTTGCTCAGTGGAATAACATGTAAAACTGCTTTACAGGACAGGTTACATAAAATGGAACATTTTGAGTGATGGGTTAAAAATCTGGACAGGTTGTGATGCAATTCTTTTCTGTAATGTCCTTCATGGAGTAACCTCTGTGAAATAAGTGACTTTAGACCAGTTTGTCTTGCCATAAGGGATATATATCAATGTTTTTTATTTGAACTCTTTGAATAGTGACATGTTAAAGTTAAAGCTGACTTACTGACCTGATAATTATGCAGAATTTTTCCTCAATTAAGTAAAAGAATTTAAATTGGTGCCTAGAAAAGTGAAACCTTCCCACATGGAAACTGTAAATTAACTCTGTGGTTTGAAACGCAAAGCAAATGAATTTTCTCTAAAAGTCCTTCATGTTAAGTTGCTTTTATTCATATAAATCATCTTATCATTTCCAGCTTCTGAATAAATAAGGAGTTTCTCAATTCTCAGCATTTAAAACTTAATTTTATCATTTAGGAAGTTAAAAAAAATATAAAAGTTATGCGTTTGTAGTGCAGCTGTCACCACATTGCTGCTCAGCAGGAGGAGTTGTTGCAAAGCCACTCGAGGCGGTCAGCCGCTCCGACTCGTATACCTTCTAACCAATAAGCTTTGAACAGTCCCCTAATGTTGGCTATTATGTTTTAGTTAAAATCAAATCAGAATGTTTGGAAATCAACTGAATTAATTTGGACCGAAATTGATGCTCTATAATTTGATGTGAATTTGAACTTATAAAACCCCTTTAGATGAGATTTGTATATAGTTCTGTATAAATACACAGTTGATAAAGAAAAAATAATAAATAAATGAAAGAATAAATATTAGCTTAATCTGTATCTGGTATCTATAATTAATCAATATATTAGATTAATTATATAGTATGCTGTCATTTGAAATCTTGTGATCTTTTGTGATATTTTAAAGCAGTTAAAGCTTGGAAAATTTTTGTTCACCTATGAACACATTGTGTTGCTCTAAAATGTCTGAACAAACTTTGTTGAAAAGCATAATCAGTTTTTTCTGGTTATGGGTGAAGGATACAGGGTTAAATGCATCAATACATTTTCTAAATAACATAATTTTAGTAAAAATACCATCTGTTTATACCAGAAATTACCATTAAGAAAAAAAATATTCTCTATTACTCGACCATTTAACAAGTAATCAAAATGGATAAATAAAGTTGAGTCTAAGCCTAACTGATAATCTGTCTTTAATTTTTCCACTTCCTAGCATTTTTTGTCTTCTGGTGTTCCAAATCACACCCTAACCTTGCATATATGAGATCATTTTGTCTTTAATACTCCAAAGAAAAGTAATGTCCAGTTTTATTTCCCATTAAAGTAAAATCACCTGTTGTAACAATCCACCAACGCTTATTTTTTCCCCTTAAAAAGTACAAATAAAGAGGATGAAAGCCACCATTTTAGTTTATCTACGGTACTGTTTGCTCCCAAAAATAGGCATCAATTCCTTTCTCAGCATCCTAATATGTCAGAAAGGTCCTGCACGTAAAAATCGCCATCCCCAGGCCATCGTTATAGTCTTCACACATCTGGAACTTCACAAGTGTCTGATCAAACTTAGAATAACATACTTTGTAAGCCAATAAAAGAAGCTTTGTAATAAAGCAGGGGTCTTCAACTTTTTCCAGGCCAAGGACCCAAAAACTGATGGTAAGATGGTGCAGGGACCCCCTAGCTATATATATTTATATATGAAATTGTGTTATATCAAACTGGTCCTATAGTCACTCTATTACAGATGGAATAATGTAACGGAAGTAATTTCTACCTGGGACTATTATAGAATTTCTGATTGTGATTCCTGGTTGATGGGACAGGTGTTGTGAATGAAACTGTTCCCAGATTGAAAGAGCTCCTGTGTGTCGCTGAATGTGTGCATTGATAACTGAAAGACATCTCCTGCCTCCATTTATCTGTTTACTACAGTGTGTTGAATTCATGTTAATGTTTATTTAAAGACATTTCAATTAGTGGAACAAAATAGCAGGGGGGAATATAAAAAAAAAAACAATCAACCAAAACTTTCACAACCCCCATGCAGTACCTTTGTGGACCCCTAGGGGTCGCGGACCCCCTGTTGAAGACCTCTGCAATAAAGTATCAGAAGTGTAGGTGGTGGGCTGGAAAGATGGTTCTAATTTCTGTGTCTGAGTGAAAGGAACAATAACTGGATATGCACAAAAATCGGAAAATTTGAATTATTAAAGAAAGTACTTGAATGAAAATGTGTGTAAAGTTATATGTAGAATTGTTTTGTGTGTTTATTATATAATGGGTATTGTAAGACTTTTCTTTGATATGATTTTCTTTAAGTGAAATCTGCATTTTTATGCAAACTGACCTCAGGAAGACTAGCGATGCTAACGGGGATCTAAAAACAATGTTCAGGATCTCGTTCTCTATCCATAATAATCTGTTAACAGTTTCTTCTTTCTGTGTCTCGTAGGGAAACCTGACCGTCACACCTCAACCCTGCAGAGGTTCATGTGACTGGCTCACATGAGAGCAACATCCTCTGGTTGTTACCTTCTAGACATCAGTTGAATGGTGTTATCTTTATTTTTTAGTTCCCCTGCCCCAAGGCAAGGCAGAATGTTGTTGCTGTTTTTTGTTTAGTTTTTTTTCCTCCTCCCCTCGTAAAAGACCCCAAATTCTCCGATCCGAGGACTGTAACAGGACTAAAAGCAACCCAGGTTCAAAGCCATGACTCTGCTCCTTCATGCAGAGGAAACGCCGGCCCGTTGATCATCTAGTCTTTGCACTGTCGACAAAAACAATGCAAAAAGAGACTATTGGACTGCCAGAACAGCTTTCTCTTTTTTTGTTTTTTCCTGACTGCATTGTTTTTTTTTTTTCTTCTTGTCACTCAGAAAGAACTTGGCAGGGGTTTGGGTTTGACAGTGGGGTGGGAGAGGCGTCAACTGAAAGATGGGCTTACAGTGCGCCGTGAAACAACGGTATATCCTAAACTTGACAAATGTTCGGCTATATTTAGTGGGAGGAGAGGGGGGGGGGGACTGTAACAGCTGCTTCCTTCAGAGACTTAAAAACCTGAGCCTGAAGTTTTCCCATCTTCATCTTCATCAGTTCTCCTTGTTTTTTAAAGGAACTCTTCATCTGTAGTTTCAGGGATGACGCCGTCACGTTTTAGCGAAGGGACCGCACACACCTCATGGAGAAACACTATTCATGTCTCCTTTTCTCTGTAAGCTCTCTGTCATATCATTGCGTCCATCTTTGGAAGTGTCTCCTGCTGGTGTCGTTCATGTTTTTCTGTTTCCCTCCTTCACCATGAAAGGAGTCGCATCCACTCAAACGGTGAAGCCACATCAGCAAGCGATCAGGCCGCACACGGTGGACATTTTGTTCAGTGACCATGCTTCTCTCACTCTGTTTTCTGTAAACAATGTAAAATTCAGGCCATGTATTTTTCTGCTGTAATATAGAGGCTTTACAACCTTTCTGTGCATAAATGTTTGTATTTATTCAAGCATGCAACTGTTAGAGAACCTGTTAAAAAGCAGTCTGCTTTTGCCACACTGAGCTCGGCTCGATGCTGCTGCTGGATGTTTTGTACGTTTTCTTTGGTGCTTTGGTTCGGCCCGTCTTGCCTTGCTGGATTCACATCTCCATTCCCTCCAACATGTGCAGTCCCACATCTAAACTGCCGTCTGATACCCGCTAATCCAGTCATATTGGGTGGCAAACAAAAGGAGGTGAGAGGGATTTTTTTTGGCTAATGTGATCAAGTGGCGGGGTTTTCCTTTCCCTTACTCATGTGGCTTCACCGTAACAAAAAGACATCAGTGGGCGTGTTTCCTGTGCTCACATCTAGGTCAAATCTATGACAATGAACCACAGCAGATTTTAACAAATTCGTCAAATGGACTCCCTCGCAGTTGTCCAGTGAGCTTGGAAGCAAAGCACCTCAAAGCATGTGGGTCCCACTCGCTAAGTTTCCAACCTTTAGCTTTAGGTGGACAGAAAGTGTGCCCCGCTCCACCAGAGGCTTTAAATTACACGCCATGGAAACCACAGGCGCTTTAAGTGAAATACTATCCATATGGTGCTCACATTAATTACAGGTTACTGATTGCTGAAGGTCATAACATGGTGTTTGAAGCATTTTGATGACCATGTTTTTATCTCATTTTTTTGTTTTAGAAATAATTTTATCGCCCCATGTTCTTTTTGTTTTTTTTTTTGTTTTTTTTTATCAATCAAGGCTCTGCACCAACATCGTTTCTGGCCTCAGGAACCCATGCAGTTCCTGTCGAAAACGAGGCATTTCTCACTGTTCGAAAGCTGCAGCTCTTCATTTTAAGGTTGATGGACATTCCATGTGAGAAAGTTTCCCAGTTCCTTCCCTCCCACTGAAAAAAAAAACCCCAAGCTCACAGGACGGTTTATATTTTGACTTTGTGCGCAGTATAAAGAGGAATGCCTGACATGATTTAAAAGCTGAATGTGGTGGTGTGTGACTTGTACTTAATCTGTAAGGGTAATCTAGGCAGCTGTGATGTTGTCATTAAAGTCAGCGGGGTTTTAGTACCAGCAGACTGCATATAGTTTTATCAGACAATGGTTGTGACAAGTGCATTTGTTCTCTCTCTCTCGCTCTGAGGGTAGTGTTATCTCAGTAGTAAGCAAAGCCCAGTGAAAATCATTTATTCTAAAGTGTATGAAAAAGCCAGAAAAGTAATTTTTGCTTTCAACTTATTGGAAAGTGCTTGGCTCTTGTATTTTGCAGGACTGTATTTGTTTCATGGTGAAGAGTATATTTATTGGCCAGCAGTTGTCTCAATTGGTGCCTAGTCGAACATTCTTCTGTGAAAACACAGAGACACTTGCTCGTTTGTCTTTTCCCCCCAACCCCCCTCCCTACACTCCCCCCCCTTTAACCCCACCAACCTGCACCCTAACCCCTCCCTTCTCCAAAAGCACCACAGTTGGTGCTTGCAAGGATGTTTACAATGTCTTCATTTTCTTTCTGTGTGAGAAATTCAGAACTCTTCTCTCTCTCCTCTGTTGTCTTTCCCTTCAGGAGTTTGTGTAAAGTGTACATTACCATGGTTCTTTTTTATACAATACTCTGTAACTTGCCTTTGTAAATTTGGGCTGGAAAAAAATAAATCTTTTTATGAGACAATCTGTCCCGGGAACTGCTCAGTGGCTTCTCTCTCCTCTGTTCTGCTGAAGTTGAATCATATCAGATGTGTTTTTTTCTTTTAATTAATCTTAAATAAAAATTAATCCTTATTAAAAAGCTGGTGAAGATTCTCAGTCATCCAGGTCATAGTCTTTCCAGAAACGTAAAAAAAACAACAATCCACTGGACTTTGCTTCCAAATTTGAAGACGTTTCGCTTTACGCCGTTTCAATTCAAAATGTCGGAAATAGCGTTGAGTTTGAGGCTTTATAGGGTGGAACAAAAACAAAGCCCCGGTTCAATTTGCATGTTTTCTACCCCAAAACAAGGCTTTGTTTTTGGTCCACTCTATAAAGCAAGCATCCCCATAGTCGGTCCTGGAGGGCTGCTGTCCTGCAGGTTTGGGAGGTTTCTCTGCTTCAGCAAAGCTGATTATGATCATGGAAGTTCAGCAAAAGCCTGTTAATCAGTTTTCAATTTAAATCAGCTGTGATGGAGCAGGAAAACCTCAAAAACCTGCAGGACCACAGCCCTCGAGGACCGACTTTGGCAATGCCTGCTATAAAGCCTCAAACTGCTATGAACACTATTTCTGACATTTTGAACTGAAAAAGCTTCCTGGATGGGAAGCGAAACGTCTTCAAACCTGGAAACAAAGTCTATTTGATTGTTTTTTAACTTTATTGGAATACTCAGTAAAGTTGCATTTACATTTTTTTGTGTAAACGTGGTAAAGAACCACTTAAACTATTAATAAGGGCGTTTTATGCAGTATAACAAGGTGAAGGGAAAATTTCCATTTAACATTTTATCTTAAAAAAAAAAAAGATTGGTATACATATGTAATTATGGATATAAACCAGGCTAAAGCTGCACAACACCTAAGTTTTCTATAGATCATACTTATAAAGTTTACATTTTTGTAGATTTAAGGTATAAATAGTGCTCAGAGTTCTTAAATGTTTTAGAACAGGGATTCCAGTTCATTTGATTACCAAATTAGTTGAAGAATATGTCATCAACTCTAATGCTTCAGCCTCGGTGTAAAGATCTGAGGATTTCACTGATTCCTTAAAGCAGCGTTTGAGTCGTTCACCACTGTGTGGACCAACGGAGACGTTCAACTAATCAAGAAGGGCGTAGATTGAATAAACAGCCAATGGACCTACTGTTACTCTGGAGGAGCTGCAGATCTACTGACAGGACAACTTTCAAGCTCTTCATCAGATGAGACTGAAACTGAACATCTTAGCAAAGGTTTGTCCAGAAACACATCACCCTGATTGTGAAAACCCACTGGTGAGAAGATAGCAGCATAGTGCTGTGGCTATGCGTTTCATCGGTGCACGGTAGGGGCAACTGGTCATGGTTAACAGGAAGCTGGATGTGCAGCATTACCTTGGTTTATCTTAGTGTTTCTCTATAAAGAGCAGAACGTTCTGAGCTACACGCTTCTGGAAATGTTTACTCCATTTAAAATAATTGAAACTAAAGGTGAGGAGTGTATATTTTAAATGTGGGTCATTGGCCAGCTCGCTGCTCTGACCTGAACGTAATAAACAAGGATTTATGGGGTCATTTAGAGACGCCAGAGCCAATAATGTAGATGACCTGATGGCTGCTATCAAAGCGACCCGGGCCTCCATCACACCTCAGCAGAACCACACACTGAGCTCCTCCATGCCACGCTGCTGCACTAAGGCCATCATTCAGGCAAAGCAAGTACTTAGGAAATAGAAATGATTTTCCCACAAAGCCAAACATTTCTGTTTAAAATATCCTTTTTTTTTATTGATCAAATGTTATATTCTAATTTTTATTAATTTGACATTTATTAGTTTTTATCTATAATCCATAATCTTGGAAAGTTTAATAAATCTACATAAATTCCCTTTTTTTTTTTAAGTACTCCATGATGCTGCCATTACTTTATTACCCTTTATGTTTTAAGCAGAAGTCAAATCAGTTCTTCCCTATACCAAAATAAATCTTACTAGAGATTTATTTTATTTTATGATACTGTGAAAACCTCTTGGTGCAAACAAGGCTGTTTGAATTGTGTCAGAAAAATGTTTGTTTTCTTCCCTCAAACTATATTTATGCTTTAACATGTGGTACAATATAAATACATATAAATAGTTATAGAGATAACAATGTACCTTTAACATGTGAACAAAATTGGGCTAGAACAAACCCCAATATACCCACATATATACTCTCATACAGAATACAAAACAAAAATAATAATAAAAAACTTATTAAATACAAAAAAGGATCATGACAGGTGAACATAAAGAGAAGTGGAAATAAACAGATACAGGTGCTGGTCATAAAATTAGAATATCATGAAAAAGTAGATTGATTTCAGTAATTCCATTTAAAAAGTGAAACTTGTATATTATATTCATACATTACATACAAACTCATATATTTCAGATGTTTATTTTGTTTAATTTTGATGATTACAAATGACAACAAATGAAAATCTGAAATTCATCATATCAGAAAATTAGAATATTACTGAAGACCAATAAAAACAAAGGATTTATAGAAATGTTGGCCAACTGAAAAGTATGAACATGAAAAGTATGAGCATGTACAGCACTCAGTATTTAGTTGGGCCTCCTTTGGCCTGTATTACTGCAGCAATGCGGCGTGGCATGGAGTCGATCAGTCTGTGGCACTGCTCAGGTGTTATGATAGCCCAGGTTGCTCTAATAGTGGCTTTTAGCTCTTCTGAATTGTTGGGTCTGGTGTATTGCATCTTCTTCTTCACAATACCCCATAGATTTTCTATGGGGTTAAGGTCAGGAGAGTTTGCTGGCCAATTAAGAACAGGGATACCATGGTCTTTCAACCAGGTACTGGTAGCTTTGGCACTGTGTGCAGGTGCCAAGTCCTGTTGGAAAATGAAATCTGCATCTCCAAAAAGTTGGTCACCTGCAGGAAGCATGAAGTGCTCTAAAACTTCCTGGTATGTGGCTGCGTTGACCCTGGACCTCAGAAAACACAATGGACCAACACCAGCAGATGACATGGCACCCCAAACCATCACTGACTGTGGAAACTTTACACTGGACTTCAAGCAACGTGGATGAAGTGCCTCTCTTCTTTTCCTCCAGACTCTGGGACCTTGATTTCCAAAGGAAATGCAAAATTTACTTTCATCAGAGAACATGACTTTGGTCCTGTTTCTCTTTAGCCCAGGCAAGACGCTTCTGACGCTGTCTGTGGTTCAAGAGTGGCTTGACACAAGGAATGCGACAGCAGAAACCCATGTCTTTCATACGTCTGTGTGTGGTGGTTCTTGAAGCACTCACTCCAGCTGCAGTCCACTCTTTGTGAATCTCCCCCACATTTTTGAATGGGTTTTGTTTCACAATCCTCTCCAGGGTGCGGTTATCTCTCTTGCTTGCACACTTTTTTCGACCACATCTTTTCCTTCCCTTCGCCTCTCTATTAATGTGCTTGGACACTGAGCTCTGTGAACAGCCAGCCTCTTTAGCGATGACCTTTTGTGTCTTGCCCTCCTTGTGCAAGGTGTCGATGGTCGTCTTTTGGACAACTGTCAAGTCAGCAGTCTTCCCCATGATTGTGTAGCCTATAGAACTAGACTGAAAGACCATTTAAAGGCTTTTGCAGGTGGTTTGAGTTAATTAGCTGATTAAAGTGTGGCACCAGGGGCCATCAATTTTGAACCTTTTCACAATATTCTAATTTTCTGATATGATGAATTTGAGATTTTCATTTGTTGTCATTTGTAATCATCAAAATTAAACAAAATAAACATCTGAAATATATGAGTTTGTATGTAATGTATGAATATAATATACAAGTTTCACTTTTTAAATGGAATTACTGAAATCAATCTACTTTTTCATGATATTCTAATTTTATGACCAGCACCTGTATATCAAAAGACAAAGTAAAAAGAATCAGAATTTAAACCATGTTAATTTTATTTTCCACAATCCATACGGGCAGTCAAAAAGAAAAAAAACAAACAAAAAAAACATTTTCCTCAGGTGTCAGGGGACACTGCTGTTGATGTGTCAGACAATCCATGAAATGCTTAAACATTCTTATTACTAGGACCTGTTCTTTCATTTTGTTAGCATTTATACACTATATTAAAGGTACAGTAGAGGATTTTTGTGCATAAAAAAAAAAAAAGCACATGCACAACCCTGTACCCGCTCCCAAGAGGGAATGCTTATTAAATGCGTGAATGAGCCCATTTCTCCTCATGCACGCTCTGTTTAAAAGTTGCTGTTTGTATAATTTATACAAGCTTACGTTCCTTAAGATTTGTCATTTTTATCTCATCAGATAAGAAAGGATTGAAAACTTTCCTTTTCAGAAATGCTTTCAATTGCTGATTTTTAGATTTTATATTAGGCTAGGTATGCCTTCAAATGTATTGATTTTAATGATTGTCTTTTACTCTGTTTTAATGTTATGGTCTTTTCACCTTTGTTTTAATTTTCCCTTTTTGAACTGTAGCACTTTGAGATTTTAATTCAAATGTAAAGTGCGTTACGAATAAAATTCATTATTATTATTACCACTGGTAAGTGAAAATGGGGACGAGCACGTAGGACGGCCTTATGTAAACATATCACCAGAATGATTGATAATTAGGAGGACCACTGATTTTGATGATCCACACGGAAAAAGAACATCCTCCACCATAGCTTTAATATTCCAACATGCCCCCAAACGTAAAGCACAAATAAACAGTTTGCCTTCACTGTTTGCTGCAGGGTGTACTGATCCATGTGGCCACAGGAGAGCAGTATCTCTAAGCGAACTGCTTTTAATTTCTTTCAAAACCGGTTTTTGTTTTGTCTTTCAAAGATCTAGACTCAACTAGAGAAAACTCAATCTGAGTTTGATAGACATAAATTTGTTAGAGTTTAAAAAAGTCCAGAAATATCAACTTACTAAATTACCGATTCTTAAGAGAAAGCAAAATAAACATGTGAGCAAAGACATTCATACA